ACACACACACACACACACACACACACACACACACTTGTGTCTAATGGTAGCCATCTCTAGAGAAAGGGAGGAAGACAAAAAGGAAATAAAAGTTATATGATAACTTTATTATATATTTAAGAGGAATAGCAAGTTGTACATAAAAGATTTATAGTTTCATGTGCAATCATCTTTTTTTCTATTCTCCTATGTTATGGAAATATGTTTTATTTCTTAAGCTCAAAATAAAATATTTTTTAAAAATCATGAACCCTTCAGAGTTAGGCATCACAAGACATTCTTGTCTCAAGATAAGTTAGAATCCTATTGTTTGAGGTGCAAAAAATCATTACCATTTTTGTGAATTAAAAAATTAATTTTGAGATTCTTTTGGGAAAATTTATAGACCTGAAAACTCAATGAAATCTTATTTGCTTGTTTTATAACCAGACTTGTGCTTTAATTAGTATAGTTCTGGAGAGTTGCTTATGGACACTCAAAAGTTGACTAACCTGTACTGGGTCATCTAGCCAGTATGTAGGAGAGGCAGGATTTGGCCCCCAAGCCTTCCTGACTCAAGGCCAGCTCTCTGTCCACTCTGGAAAGCTGCCTCACTCAACATAAAAAGATTTATTTAAATAAGGGGCACAACCCATTCTCCAAATATTCAGAATAAAAAGGTTTACTGGGTATCTAACATTTCTGTGATTACTCAGGATGAAAACGACCAAACCAGGAGAGCAATTTATACAATAACAACAACGTAAACACAACCAAGTTTTAAAGACTTAAGGACTTGTAATAAAAGTTCTTAAGGACTTCAGAACACAATGACCAACAATGATTCCAGAGGGCCAGTGATGAGGCATGTTCCCCACCTCCAGACAGAAAGCTGATGGACTCAAAACGCAGAACAGACATGTATTTTTTTTAACATGGTCAATGTGGGAATTTATTCTGCTTGACTATGTATATTTGTTTCAAGGGATGTGCTTTGCTTTTTTTGTCTGTTAATTGAAAAAAAATTAATGAAAAAGAAGTTAATAGGCCAATAAATTTTTGACCCTGCTATTAATTTCAGGAATGTTTTAACTACAATAGAGTTCAGAAAAAACCAACAGTTATACAGCAAAAACGAAGGCTGTGGACTTTGACATGGCCAATGTTTGGCCTTTACCACATTTACATGGATAGAATGAGCCTAATCAAAGCAATGCTCAAGTTATAAGATACTAGGCAGAAAAACCCTGAAAAGATCATTCTAAGTGTCCACAAATATTTAACACAATATTCAGTAAGAACAGAGCTCACAATGGGCAAACAATTGTCATGTTCCAGAATTCTGGCAGAAGATAAAAAAGTCTTTTCCTTGAGCACCCTTAATATGCTCTACTATACAGAAAATCTTTTGTTCTTAATCTGGTATAACCTCAATAACTTTCTTCCCTTTTAATAAAATTTCAAGAACCAAAAGAGAACTCAAAAACAAAAAAAAAAAACCTGGTTGCATTTAAGGCGAAACAAGAAAGTTCCTCCAGGCAGCGGGAACAGCTAAGATGCACCAGATAAGTCAACAATTGCAAAAGCTATACCATAGTTAAGCCTCATATAACTCTGTACATTAATAGACCTTTCACCCAGCTCTGTCAACAACTCCAGCTAAAATAGAAAAACTGCCAGTCACACCTGATCATCTATACTTATATTCTAAAGAGCAATACATATTTCTATACACTATATCAAATAAGCTGGAAATCAAAACCTCTGGGCCTTAGAGATCCCTAACCCAAGGACCTCAGTCGGTGCTGCCACATTGCCAGGATCCTAGGATTACAGACAAAGCACTGGGAAGGCCATTGAAGACCACCTAGTTCAATTACTTCTTCTTACAGGTAAGGAAGCTGAGGCCCTCTGGGTCACATAAGGAGTGAGCATCAGAGACAGAATTGGAACTCAGGTCGTCTGACTCCTGAGCTGGTGCTGCTACTCTTTCCATCAGTCTGTGCTGCCTCCTAAACTTTAAAAGGTTAGAATACTAGTCTAAACTAAATAACCTAAAACCACTGTGACAAAGCCACATAGCCTTTGTGCTGACTGCTTTCAGATCAGGCTGGATGTCTTAGAGCTCACACCTACCGAAGCATTTCCAGCAGTGACGGTTCCCTCTTTCTTGAAGACCGGGGGGAGCTTGGCCAGCTGTTCCAGTGTTGTTTGGGGCCGGGGATGTTCATCCTTTTGCATCATCTCTTTTCCTTTCTTTGCTTTCACTTCAATTGGTGCCATTTCATCATTAAAGTAGCCAGCATCATTAGCTGAAACAGCATAATGAATTTTTTCAAGAATAAAAATTATAAAATACAAAACAAAACAAAACAAAACTCTATTCTTCAGAGAAAAGAATAAATCCAATACAATTTCTGGCCCATTCTTTCCCATCTACTTAAGTTTAAGTTTCTATCAGTTTACCTCCATGATAGACTGTTAAGGTACTTAACCTATTGAAAACAACAACATTTTCCCCATATGTAAAAACCTACTACACTGCAATGTACCTATGGGGAGATGTATGTGTATAGCTATGATATATAATATGCAAATGATATATTATGTACATACTAAATTATATAAAATAACATATATTATAAATTATACTATATATGATTATATAATTGTATTATTTATAGCTTATATGCATAATATGATTTTACAATTTTTTATATAAACACACACACACAAATACATAAACACATGTCCCCATATGTATACTAGGTCTTTAAGTATGGGAAGAATGTTGTTTTTAATAGGTTATATAGGTAATACATAATTATATGTAATTTATATACATAAACATATACACATGATTATTATGTGATTGTATGTAATACAGATATGAATTATACAAGCATGTGATACATATATAATTTATATATACAAATCTCCCCAGAGGTACCTATATATGTATATACATATATGCATATACACACATATGTATACACACATACATGTACATATAGGGTTATACAAACACACTGAACACACACATAAATAAGCATTCTTGTTCATATAAACATACGTGTACACATACATATGCACAGATACATATATTTGATGATGCATCATCACACATATGTATGCGTATATATTCATCACACATTTAAAGCAATAAATGCTTGATTTAAGTTAAACAAGTATGTCTCATAGCAACTATTTTATTGTGGTATCTTTTTCTTCTCCAACTAATATTCTTCTGTTGGCATGATTAAATGAGGTGATAAAGTACATCCTTATTATAAAGTTTATTATAAACCAACATTTTGTGTGCCTACTGAAAATGCTCAAGTATTTTTCAGGCTGTCTGAATAGAAGAAATATGATGTCTAAATTAAGAGAGGGAACAGTCTTATTGTACCCTGCACTGATTAGATCTCATTTGAAAGACTATCCAATTGGGGATGCCTCTCTGGAACATGGATATTGGAAAAGCTGAATTTGTACAGAAGGATGACTTTACTATGGCGAAGTCTTGAAAACCTCATATGAAGAATGGTCAAAGCGTATTTAGCCTGGAGAATGCCAAGGTATGATAGCTTTCTTCAGATATTTGCAGAGCTACCATATAGAAGGAAAATAAAACTTTTTTTGTTGAACCAGAAGACCAAGTAAAGGATCAATGGGCAGAAATTACAAGGAGTCTAACATATGAATAAATTTTTTAGCCATTTGGAGTCTTTAAATAACAAACTGCCTCATGAGTACATGAATCTCTTCTCAATGGACCTAGACATCCAAAGGCCCCATGTGTTGGAATCACCGGGGAAGTTAGACCAGATGAACTTTAAAGTAAACTTGTCATTCTAAATTCTAGGATCTCAAACCAACAACTCACATTTACATAGCATTTTCTGGTTTGCAAAGAGCTTTCCTCAAAAAAGTCATGAGATCAGTGATGTCAATATTATATCAACTTTACATGTGAGAAGCTCAGAACATATAAGTGTTTTGGACATGGTCAGGCAGGACCCAAATCCAGAGCTTCTGACTCAACCTCAGGAGACCTTAGTTTGCTGGAGAGGCTGTTAAGTATGATGAAAAAGGCACTGGATTTGAAATGAAAGGACTCCTGGGATCCTGACTACTTACTACTTGTATTTTCATCCAAACATTTCACACATGCTTTTTCATTCATTTATTCATTCACTCATCTTTTGGTAAGTCACTTCATATCTCTGGGCCTCAGTTTCCAGAACTGTAAAATAAAGGGACTAGACTACATCATCTCTGCCACACTGTCTTTGAAATAATGACTATAAACAAAAAACTGGTCCATTAAAAATAAGAATGTTACATTGGAAAAATTATCTAGCTTCATTATTTCAAAAAGAACCAGATTGAGAACCTATTACTGAATTCAACAAATACTCATTCAAAGTATATGTAGCAAGTAGCTAGGCACTGAGGAGAAAACAGAGGAAATAAGACAAGACCCCTCCCCCTCTAGGAATTTAAACTTGTTGCAGGAAGCACACTAGCTAAACATGAAATTTAAGTTTCAGGTAAGCCAGGAGGACAGGTCTATGTCTTACATTCAGGACACCTCCTCTTCCAGCACCATTCTACATAATCTTTTTTTTTTTTTGGCTAGGCAATGGGGTTAAGTGACTTGCCCAGGATCACACAGCTAGTAAGTGTTATATGTCTGAGGTCGCATTTGAACTCAGGTCCTCCTGACTCCAGAGCCAGTGCTCTATCTACTGCGCTACCTAGCTGCCCCCACTCTACATAATCTTGTAGATGGAATTCCCCAGCCACTCACAACTCACCCCCAGGCTTTTCAATTTGTTTACATCACAAGTCCTCATTCTTATAACTTTTTTTTTCTATTTCACAATCATTTTGATAAAGATACTGCTATATCGTTGCCCTCTTTATGGTCAACTGGACTGTTGAATGGGGAGGATATACTTTATATATCCTGAACTATACTCCATGACCCTACTGGACTCCAGAGACATGATTACCTATGGTAGTAACAAACCTCTAGCTAAGAAAAACACCCAGCTCAACTGACTTCATCAACAAATCCCTTATCTAATCAGTTAATATGACCCAAAAGGAGCTATGACAGAAAATCCCAAATCTCAAAATGTTACTTGGAAATAAGCAATTTATAACAATCATTATTATTCACACTAAGTGATAATTATAAGCATTTTGATTCAAAATGATGTTAGAAATTCCACAAGGATGTTTTAATCAATTAATTTCACTGACCAGCTTTCCACCTCTGTTGTGACTGCAAAGCATATTTATCACAGTCTTCTCTGCTTATTTTATGTTTTACAGCAAGATTCTCAGCAGTAATTGCCATGGAGATTTTAACATGCTGATCAGTCAGCGACGTCCACAAAGTGTCTTCCATCTAACAAAGACATAAAAAACATGTTAAAGCAGGTTTTGTAAAAATAACATGCAATAATTGATTTTAAAATAAACGTTCATTAGTTATCAAAATTAATAGCTTCTAAAAGTAAAAAAGCAAATTGTCTTGTAAAAACACATTTACTAGAATTACTATTTAAATCAGGTTCTCTGATATTCTAGGAAATAAATATAAATAAACGTGCATAAACATGCATAAAATTTCTCAGCTTTGGACCCTTTCAAGATAGCCAATAATACCAGGGGGTCATACTGCAATGTTTGAAAAATAGTTAAATTTATTTCTAACCAACTTGGCAGAACATCTGGAGGAAAAGAAATTTATCCTAACCTCTTTGTGAGATCCTGGCACTTAAAGTTATGGTGTGAAGAGAGTACCATTAAGTGACACACATGACTATTAATACCTGGTTATGATGGGAATGAGGATCCCTGCAACAAAAGCCACTTGTTTCACAAAAGGTACATCTTTCCTGGATTACTGATTCAGCTCCCCTATTTGCCCTTAATGTCCTTTTTGCCACCTTTCTCGCCCCCCACCCCTCTAAAAATTCCTGTCAAAACAAAAGCATAGCAACAAAATGGCAGTAATAACAAAAATCCAACATGGTGCCAACCTTGAGGTCTACTCCCAACCTGGTACCAAAGCGTGCATTTCTGACACAGTAAGGAGCCTGGCTCATACTTTCTGTTCCTCCACATAGTACCACTTCAGCATCTTTGACACAAATGTCCTGCAAAAAAGAAGTTTTCCAGTGAAGCATTTCTGTTCTATGTTTATAACAAAATAGCTTTGGAAATCAGTAAGAATCCTAATAAAGACAGTTTAGTGGAATGACTTCTAGTAATTTAAATGGCACTTCTGAAGTCTCTAAATTCACTATTAGTCTATAAAGCATTTACTAAGTACCAACTATGTGCTGGGCAACTGTGCTAAGTGCTGGATGTAGGATAGAAAAAGAGGCAAATGACAGCCCCTACCCTATGGAAGCTCACAATCTAATGTAATTCTACAAAGAAATTCATTGGGTATCAAAATGAAACATCATTTTGTGGGACATCTGGTCATTCCATATTAATGGGCACATAAATATTTACAAAATGTAGCTCATATTAACATTTTTTACAGAGGATAAGATAGAGACATTCTAAGAGTACTCAGAACTCATTCCTTCCAAATTAATCAACATGAACTTTGATTTCAATGTAAAGGCAGGACTTGGGGAAGATGACAAGAAATATGATGGGAAATGTGCTTCAAGAGGCTCAAGGCTCTTGGACTACAGAGAAGTTTCACATCTTCACTTCTTCCTTGAAAAAGAGTTGAGATGTGCTAGAGATGGTAAGAACCAAATAACATCACAAAAAAAAATGAAATGTTTCCATCTTTAAGAGACAGGAAGTATCTAGTTACTTGGGTGGATGTCATTTTCAGGTTGGCCATGTAGAGTCAGACTACCAGTTTGATAAGCAAAGTTCAAGGTCAATGCCAAACTGGAAAGAACAAAAATAGGGGAACAATATAGTGTTTTGTACAACCCCTGAAACAAAGATTCAACTTTTAAAATAATCTTAATCCAAGGATGCTATATGACTTTGAGCCATGGAATAGCATGGTCTTCAAAGAACCCAAGTACAAAAGACAAGAAGTGGTGATGGGGACCCATGGTAGATTTGAACAACCTATGAAATACTACAGATGAACCACACAGGAGCAATGTAAAGGATGTCATTAAAAATGTATGACCACAGAAAAGAGTGTGCCAGCCCCATGAGGAGGAGAGGTAAGGGATGGTCAACAAAAACATTTCAATGCATTCTAATATCAAGAGAGAATGAGCAAGACCTTCCCATCTCTTCCCCCTCCCTTACCCCCCAGCACACTGGGTGGACCTCCATTGGGGAAATTATGGGAGGATGTGAGTGAGTGCCTCATAGGATAGGCATGCATGGATAGGCTGAGATACATCAATCATTAAGCATTTATTAAGCACTTACTATATTCCAGGCACTGTGCTAAGTGTTGAATTATGAAGGAAACAATGAGATCACAAAATCATTTGAGGATTCTCAATATAAAATATGAAAGAGGGCAGGAAAAGTAACTGAACCTATGATTTTACTGGCCTAGGCACTTCCAGGTGATAAAATTCCTTCTAGCAGTGCCAGCAGGCACCAACTCTGAAACTATAATCAGAGAGTTGTTTGGAGCACTAAAAGGTTAAGTAATTTTTCCCAGGGGCCACACAGCCAGGACGTATAAACACTCGAACCTAGGTCTTACTGGCTTCAAGGGTAGCTCTATCCCCTATACCCTGCTGCCTCTCTAGGGGAGGCTAGGAGGAGGCTAGAAGGAGACTGGATATTAATAATAAACACCCTAATCTCTCTAAGTAATCTTAGAGATTCTAATCTCTCCTTTCTCTTTCCCCTATTATTTGTGATCTTTGTAAGAAAACCTAGCATTAGCCACGAATAAATGCTAATAATACAATTGTGAAGTTATAGATTTTATATAGAGGCACTTACAGTTTCTGATAATGGTCAGAATGTAAGAATAAGTAGGGAAACACTAAGTAACCCATCAGTAGTTTACTTAATGAAAACCTCTATGTGATGACATAGTTCACTATTTTAAAATGTGTACTAGAAGGAATGCTTTTTCAATGTTCTTTCCCTGCATCTCTTAGCCTAGAAAGAGGGACAAAGGAAAGAGTGAATTACCTGTTGTCAGAGCACCTGGGTTTGAATCTTGGCTCTACCACCTACTGCTGATGTAAGACCCTAGGCAAACTAAACAAACTCTCTGAGCCTCAGTTTCTTCATCTGTAAAGTGAGGGCATTAATTTGCTTGCCCTTTCCAGAACTAAATCTCATGACCTTCCTCATATTTGCTGACTCACTATTGCACTCAGCCTAAAATAAAACATTCCATCATCTTTAACTATGATGTCCCTTTAAGCTGCTCTAGCATTCAACCCATATTCTAACATCTTTTATCTTATACTTTTCTTTTAAAATTTCTTTTAAAAAAATTTTGAGTTCCAAATTCTCCCTCCCCCATCCCCTCTGCCACCCACTGAGAAGGCAAGCAATATTATACCCATTATACACATGAAATCTTTTTTATTTTTTAACACTCATTTTTTAAAAAATCCTCCTACTTTTCAAACTTATTCCCTGCCACAGTACAGGTTTTCTTACTATTCCCTCAATTTGAGTCACTTTACTCCCTTCTATTTCTATTGATTTCTTCAGGAATAACTCAACAAAAATGCAGAAGTTGTTCACTTCCCGACAAACTCTTTCCCTCCCTCAAATCTTACTAAATTTGTATTTTTTCCAGGAAATATATACTGTGGTCTTACAGATGAAGCTGACTGCCTGAGTACATCTGGGTAAATTTAATAACAAGAGCTAGCATTTACATAGCACAGTAGGTCTGCAAAGCACTTTACAAGTATCTCATTTTATCTTGATACCAACCTTGGGAGCCAGGGGCTATTATTTATCTCCCTTCTACACATGAGCAGAAAGAGGCTAAGGGACATATCCAGGATCAGAGAGCAAGGCAGTGTCACAGGATGAATTTGAACTCAGGTCTTCTTGCCTCTAGAGCTGGCTTTTTGTGCTATGGCACTTACCTGCCTTTATTCTGGACTTCTACTGAGCACAATTAAAAAGTAAAAGCTGTAGTGTTATTTTTATCGATGAAGTAAATCTCTCCCCCGAGGCAATTACTGTCCTTCCATAAAATCAACACAAAATATCTCCATACCTGACATCCACTGACAATAGCCTGGAAGCCAGAGCCACACAGCCTATTCACAGTGAGAGCTGGGGTGGCCAGAGGGACGCCCACACGCAAACCAACATGCCTCGCCACGTAGATAGCGTCTGAAGAAGTCTGAAAGATGGGGGAGAGGTAAAAATGAATCCGTCCTCTGCAAAGTGGGGTTAGAGTGAGAGCAATGACATAACACATGCAGACACTGGCTGTCCACACGAGGTGGAAAATAGTTCCTATCATACGTACAAGGTGCCCCTCACTTTACATAACAGATACATCTGTTCCTGCAAAGTTATACCTAAAGTGAATTTTAGTGTCAATACAAATGTCAATTTTAAAGTCAATTTAATGTCAATTTCTACTAAGGAAAACCTATTAAAGTTAAGAGTTAGACTAGATGAACTCTCTCTGGTCCTTTTCAGCTCTAACTTTCTTTGATCCCATGAATACTGTCATAAAGCAAATAAAGACTTCATTTTACAAAATTAAATTTTTGCTTAAAACAGACACTGTCATCAGTACCTTTATAAGACCAATATCATTAACACCACTCAAAGAGGTCATGATGGCAAGGTACACATTGCATTTGTCTTTTCCACTGAGATTACACTGAAGTCTAAAATGTGCAGTCAAAAGCTTTCATTTTAAATGCTATAATGAATGAAGGACAAAGAACTGAGGCAGAGTGAAGGGAATATATTACAGGAGGTTTCTTAATGGGGGGCGGGGCTAATTTGAATTCAGGACTTAGGCAAAATTCCTAATGAGGGTAAATAAAACTAAGCATTACAACTCGAAAGAGCTCGTAAGAAAATGGTTAGTCAGCAGTGTTAACTTGTATAATATATTTATAAAGTGCAAGACAAGGATTTTTAAAAGGGATAAATTCACAAAAGAAGAAAAAGTATCAAATTCAAATAATGTATTATCTGACTTTTGTACGCAGAAGATGGCATGCTACTCAGAAATCAGTAAAGAGTTTGGATTAGTGTTTAATGGCCATAAATATAAAAGATTTTAAAAATCTTATCTATATCTTTTGTTTTTACAACACCTTCATTTCCCACATTTATACTATCCATCATTTCTCTCCTTCCTGAAAGCCATCCCTTTTAAAGTATAAAAAAGAAGACACTCTGAAAACATAGTTTAGAAAAATGAACCAACAGACAACCAAGTCTGACACTATGTTCCATACTCAAAGTCTATCACCTCTATGAAAAGGGAGTGCATTCTCATATTTCTTTGAGATCAAACTTGATCACTATAATTACACAGCATTCGGTATTTCCATTAAAATTATCATAGTTGTGTTTATTTTCCTGGTTCTACTCATTTCATTTTGTATCAGTTCATATATGTCCTCCCATACTTCTCCATATTCTTTGTATGTAGGCATCATTTCTTAAAGTGAAGTAATACTCCACTTCATCCACATGCCACCATTTTTTTAAGCCATTCTCTAATAACTGAACATCTATTTTGTTTCTAGTTCTTTACTGTTATCCCCCACCAAGTGCTGCTCTAAGTATTTTGGTGGGCTTCCCTTTTATCTTTGACCTCCTTAGGTGTATGGCTATCAGTGGAACTTTTGGGTCAAAGCTTATGTTCAGTTTAATCACTTTCTTAGAATAATTCCAAACTGCTTTCCAGAATGGATGGACCAATTTATAATTATACCAAAGTTTTTTAGGGTATGTATCTTTCTACAACCCCTCCAGTATCAACTATTTTGCTCTGTTATCATCATTGCCAATTCAATCAATGGCTGTGAAGCAGAACCTTGGAATTATTTTGATTTGCATTTCTCTTCTTAGTGCTTTGGAACAAACTTTTATATGGTTGCTAATAGTTTACATTTCTTTTTGAGAACTATTTGTTCATGTCCTCTGCATTTATCTAATGGGGAATGGCTTTTGGTCATATATGATTATGTAAATGTGGTCTCTTTCACTGAATAAATTGCACTTGTATCCCCAAGGCCTAGCACCAGTGCCTTATACAAGGTAGGTACTAAATAAGTGTTTATTCCCTTCCCTCCCCCTCTTCCTTCATCAATTGTTTGATTAATATTGGGTACCTACAGGGGTGAGAGATGAGGAGGGCAGAGAAACCAAATTAAAGCCATGAGTATATATGTGATGCTTTCTGGTCCTTAGATAGGAGAAGATGAATCAAATGCAATGAGACAAATATGCCCTCTATAGTTGCCCTGTTTATTGTCTCAGCAACCTGCCCTGTGTACAATATATGATGTAAGATGGGCCTAGGCACTCAGGCAACTTAGCAAACATGTAGCTAGAATCTACTAGGTACTAAGTCCTTATTTGCTTGTTTAATTGGGCTATCATATTATTTGTTTGCATTCTAGAAAGTGGCTAGAGCACAAGTGAAAGGCAGAAAACAAATGGTTTTGAAAACCATTTCTGACTGATAATTTTCAATCGGACTTACAATTTTCACCAACAACAGAAAACAAAAAGCCCATTGGGATATTTTATAGAAACTCATTTGGGGTTTGATGATTGTAACAAGTCTTTGGATATAGTATTTAGCAGGCTCATTCTTTTTACTTTTATCTCCCACCTAAGGCAATCAGTTACTGGTAATAAGAAAGGCAGAGAAGGAATTTGGCTTTTAAAGGCCCCTGAGAACTCACAGGAGATAGCAAATAAGAAGTTTTCCATGGATCCTAACTCAGTGGTAATGATGATGGGGAACTAAGGGATTAAAGACTTAAGATCCAAAGGACCTGAAATTCAGCAGGTATGGAAACCAAAGCCCTACCAAGATTGTGCCATGTTTATGTTCCTCCTATAGACAACTACCTGTGTTAAATTTGAACTGTTCTCCCTGCTAGGGAAGGTAAAAGGACTTGAAAAATTTTTCATGTTTCTATGCTCTGACATTCCTGGGTAGGATGGGGTGGAGTGTGTGTGTGGGGGGAATGATCCCAGAAAATAGAAAAAAAAAGCCAAGAAAATAAAGTAGGGAAAAAAAAAAGTTAGATGATCAGCAGGTGGAAAAAGGTAGAGAAAAGTGGAGAAATAGAAGGTCAAGAAATAGACTCAGGCCTTACATAATGGATGTTGCTGTTTTGTTGTCCAATTCCTCGTGACCCCATTTGGGGGGGGTTTCTTGGCAAAGATACTGGTCTGGTTTTACCATTTCCTTCTCCAACTTTTTATAGATGAGGAAACTGAGGCAAATAGGGTTAAGTGACTTGCCCAGGATCACACAGCTACTAAGTGTCTGAGGCTGGATTTGAACTCAGGAAGATCAGTCTTCTTGATTCTAAGCCTGGAACTGTATCCACTGTGCCACCTAGCATAATATCTTAATGGGTAAGAAATTATTACCATAGATAGTATGTATCTGGATCTTCTGGAGAAGAAACAAACAGATCATAGGTTCTTTAAATGAACAAGGTACCTGCAGGTATGAAGAAATCTGCTCCTGGGTCAGGGAGAAAGGTACCAATCAATGATTCCCCTCCCTCTGATGCCTTTTTTGAGGCACTTACTCAGGATGTATAACAGAGACTAAACTGGCCCATTTCTGATATTTCATGGAGATAAATGAATACCTTTAGAAAATAACCTGGAAGAAATTTCTAATGACTATGAAGATCTGGGCAGGAAGCTTAAGGATTTAAGAGAATAGGTAGTAGTAATTTCATCACACCTTATGATCAAATGACCATCCTCAACACCCTAGATCTGTGAAAGGAAGGAAAAGGAAGATATAGGAAATGAAAAGCATCTGATTTTCCAGGTCATGGCCTAAGATACCTTTAAAAACGACAATGTGTATGGCATAGGGAAAAACATACAACAGTGAAGGAGATACTCAGGAATTCATAAGAGAAATTAACTGAAAAGAACAGAAATACTACTGATGGTCTCAAATGTCCATCTAACAATGTGCAAAGCATAATGAACAAACAAAATGAAACAAGTACTTGACACAAGAGAAAGATTGCAGTGGGCCGTGGAAAGAACAATGGATTTGAGTCACACGACCTGGGTTGGAATCCCACGAAGTTATGTGTCTTGGAATTTCACATATATGGTTTTTCTCTGGCAGTAATAACTTTGTTTTCAATATTCATGAGTTCTTGGCAGTTTTCTTTTATTACTTCTTGCAGTACACTATTCAGGTTTTTTGATTTGTCATGTTCTTCTGGTAAGCCTATAATTCTTAAGTTGTCTCTGCACATTCTGTCTTGAAGGGCAGTTATTTTGATTTATACAGAGTTCATGTGTGCTTTCATCACTGTCTTTTTGCTTCTCCTCTGCCAAATTTTCTTCTACTTCTGTATTGTTATGTTTCAAATGCTATTTTCCCTGTCAGAGTCTCTACTTCTTTGGAGAAATTCCTTATCATGTCTTCTAAGTTAAATATCTTGTGATTGATCTTTTTAAATTGTGCACTGCTCTGATCTGACAATTTCTTTCATAATATCTTTTTGATAATAACTTTTCTTTTGAATCTTTCTGTAGTTTCCTGCTTTTGTTCTGTAATCTCTGGACAGTTTTCAGAATTTTCTTTTTGATCAAGGAGTTTTCCTTAATTTTCCTTAATAGTATAATACTTATTCATTGTGGTCTGGCCTCTCCTAGCATTTCAAATAATTTTTTCTTTCATCTTTATGAACCATCTCTGCTGGTTTGTTTGCTTGTAAGTTAGGTTTTCTTCCCCCTTAGAACTTGTTTTTTAAGCCTTTTACTTGTAGCCCAGAATTTTTATCTGTTTTCCTTTCTCATTCTTTGCCTCTGACACTTGCCTTCCATCACTGCACAGATTCCTTCAAGGATGAGTATCTTCAGCCTCTTAACCTTTGGGACAGCTAAAATAAGCTACAGGAAAAAGGACTGATCTCTGGGGTTCCCTCAGGCACTGAAGCTCTTTCCTCTCTAACTAGCCATAGGCTGTGCCCTACATCCATGTCTTCTGCTTCCACCCACTTCCCGCTGCTCTCCTTATCTGCCACCTCTTGTGGGGGGAGAGAAGTGGGGTTCAGGCTGAGTGACTGTCATGGAAGGACTGGGCAGGGATCATTACAGCCAGACCCTGAAGTATAAGTCTGTTAGGTTGTTTACACTGACTGTAACCGGTGATATGGATTGGGGGTAGAGAGAGTGGATATTTAAATGTATTTAAGTTCTCCAATGTTATTTCATGAGATTTTTACCTCCTACAGTATTTGTCTTCTTGTGGATTCAGCCTTAGTTATTATTGTCAAGATATTAGGAGACACTGTTTTCCAGAGTTTTCCAGCAAGCAAGCTGTGCCCTGAGGTTGGCATAACAACCTCACCTTCATGCTCACCCTCTGGATGATCTCAGCAAAATCCCAGAATTATTTCTGGTCATGAAGCCCTGCTATGAATCAAACTTGTCACATTATTGCTGCTACCCCCCATTGTCAGGGCTACAGCTCACTGTGCAGCCACTGGTATAAGTACTGAGATCTCCCCACACTGAAGTGGGTCCTCCCCACTGGGGTGGGGCTCCAGCAAATATGTCCTTACTTACAAGCTGTTTCTCTCACTTTGAAATTAAACTTCTGTTTGATTCCTGACTCTCCTGTCTCTAGCCTTCTTTGTTTGGCTCAGGCCACCCGCAGATTAGAGGCCAGTTCAGTCTGGTTGACATTAATTGGTGTCAGAAGTGGGGCTGGACAAGGAACTGGGTCACTGGACTCTCCCATTGACATTCATTATCTTAAGCGTAAGTCTCTTTTCTATTGTTTGGAGAAGCTGGAGAAATCTGAAGAAAACTGCTCTGCCATCTTTCCAAAGACATCTACATGAATATACTTTTATACACACATATATAATATTACATACATATTTTTTCTTATAAGTCATCTTAGTTTAGAAAAGAGAAAATTCCACATTCTATTATTGACTTTACTCTTAAAATATTTTATTCCATTGTATAAAAGGAAAATAAAATCAGAGCTGGAAGGGATGTTAGATGATCATCTAGGGATTAAAGGCACGTCCAAAGTAATACAGCTAATGTGATAGCTAGCTAATGTCAGAGGACAGAATTAGAACTTGGAACTCTTAACATCAATTTTTTTTTTGCCAGGAAAATAAAGCATCATAGATTACTCAGAAACCTGGTAGCATATATGTAACAATGACCTGCAGTTTCTGAGTATCTGAATAATAACTCAGATAATTAATCTTTGCCTATTTGCCCCAACAAGTTTAATACATTCTTATCCCAATCCTTCAATCTCAGGGCCCATACCTAATTAATTACTCAGTAAGCAAATGTTTTTGAGCATCTGAAAAATAATTCAGATAATTAAACTAAGCCATTTGCCCCTGATAATTTAACCCAAGACAGAGCAAGAATGAGCAGGGATGACAACATAGCAAAGTTGGCACATCCCTTTTTTGTCAAGTTTTAAAACTTAAAAGTCCCCCAGAAATTCAGGCATACAAACTCAACCCTGCTCCATCATGGCAGAAGGATTCAAGTTCCCCAAAAAGACAGGCTAATATTCTATCTTAACAAGGCCTACTTGAGTCAAAGGTAATTAAAAGTACCACAAATAAATGGGGGGTAAAAGGCTGAGGGACAGAAATACCAAGATGATTTAGTGAACACACTCTGCCTTCCGTGGGGAACTCTACTTCAAAAGAAAAAGCCATGGCTATTATACTAAGAACACACAAAATGAGTGAGTAAATGGTCAATTTTAATGGATCTACCAAATGGATTGTCATCAATTAAACCATAGAGTGCTAGCAGGCTTTACCTTCCTTCAGATATTTACTGAGTACTCCTGGTGTATAAAATGCCCCATGCTAGGTACCAGTGGGGAATATAACCAAGGTATAATCAAGATCTTCTCCCCACTTGGTGTGTACAAATTAACCTTAATATTAGCTTTAGCAAAATACAAATTAGGAAGGCAGAAAGTTTTTAAAAACACATTCCAAACCAAATATTTGCAGATTAATCTGCTCTAGATTATGAAGGCAACAGCATCACTCCTTCTTTGAATGCATACATATTATCAAGAATTATATTGCATTTCAAATTTCAAAGTCCTTTCACTATTATTCATTTGTTCAGAGATACCTGATCCATAGATGGAAGAGTTACATATAAAAACACATCAGGAAAGCAGAATGAGCATGCGTCCCTTCTGCCCTACTAACCTGTGAGACATTGCCCACGACCACGCTGTCAATAATTTCTGGAGGTACTTTTCCAGCAGACAGGCTAGCCTTGGCAGCCAATTCGGCCAGATCAGTGGCCGTGAAATCTTTCAGTAAACCTCCAAATGTCCCAAAGGGTGTTCGCTTGGCAGCAACTATGTATATACCTAGAACCACCAGGAGAAAATGATTAATGAGTTTAGATTAGCCTGTGACCTTTCACCTTCATTTAGGTTATCTTGATCTGTACAAATCAAAGCCTTCATTGGAAAGTAGAGTTCAAGACCAAGAGAACAGGAGTGCCTTTCCACCTAGTTATTTCACCTATATATAGTGGAGGCAATCGACAACAACAAAAACAGGGGGTTAAAAGTACTGGGTTAAGAATTCTGTATCTGGTTGAATGGAAAGGCAAAAAACCTAAAGTTTGAATCCTGGATCTGTAGTGGATCAGCTTAGGAACTTTGGGGGATTGCCTTCTCCCCTCAGGGCCTTGGTTTCTTCAGTTACAAAATGAGGGGGTGGGACACAATGAGGAGGCCATCATGACTGGGGATTGCCCTCCTTTGTACTGGTGTGCCCAGGGCCTTGCTCAGTGCCTAGCACATAATAAGTGCTGAATAAATGGTTGTTGACTTTAGCAGAAGGAGCTGGGGAGAATATTGAATCTGATATTTGGGCATCAGATTGATAGGATCTTGGGTACTTCACAATTTCTCTGAGCAGTTTTCTCATCTGTAAAATAGGGTAATAATATTTACAATATTTATTCATGGGGTTACTTTCAGGAAAGCATTTTTGCCAACCGCAAAATAAGTGGTACTGCAAGTCATCTAGTACAACCTTATCTAATGCAAAAATTCCTTCTACTTAATACACCTATCAATCAATCAATCAGTAAGTATATATTCCTTAAGTATCTATTATATACCAACTTGGTGCTAGGCATAGAGAACAGAACAATTTCTACCCACTATCGATGAACTTACAGTCTAAGAGATGGACGGTTCATTTCTGTTTGAATACTTCAGTGACACACAACTAGCTACTTTGTTAGGCAGCCTATTTCATGGGTGAAACACTCTAAATCTAGGTTTGTCTTTACACTGACTCAAAATCTACCTACATCTATCTTCCATTAATTGGCTCTAGGTGTGCCCTCTAGAGCAACACAGGATCTGCTTCCTAATGAACAATGCTTTAACTAAAAAACATCCTTCTCACAGCAATTCAACCTTATTGTGTTCAATTACCGTGCTGGGGGTAGATTCAAAAATTTAGATAAGGCCTATCTATTCCTTGCCCATGGGCAGCTAGGTGGTGTTCAAATCCAGCCTTAGAAACTTAATAGCTGTGTAACCCTGGGCAAGTCATTTAACCTTATTTGCCTCAGTTTCCTGGTCTGTAAAATGAGCTGGAGAAGAAAATGGTAAACCACTTCAGTATCTTTGCCAAGGAAACTCCAAATGGGGGTCACCAAGAATCGGACATGACTGAACAGCAACAACAAATAACCAAGCTGGGACAAAAGACAAGACTTGAAAAACAACAATTGAATGACAACAATTCTCAGGATCCTCACTAAGAAAAAGACTAAAGGGCCGCTAGATAGCACAGTGTTTTTAAGAAGACCTGAGCCCAGATCTGACCTCATAAGATATGTGACCCTGAACCACTCAGTTAAATGCTGCCTGCCTCAGTCTTCTCATTAATAAAATGGGGATAACAGCACCTACCTCAAAGGGCTGTTGTAGAGATCAAGTGAGAGAGTATTTGCACTTACAGCATAGTTTCTGGCACATAATAAATGCTTAATAAATTGCTTGTTGTCTTCCTTCCTGTCATATCACTAGAAGCCCCCATAATTCTTTTTCCTTCTTATGTGTTGTGGAAAATCAGCAGATTTTCTCTTAAAGGGAGGAAAAATCATGTCTCATTAAAAAGATCTGTCATACTTAGCTGTACAGCAGTGTCAGGAGAGCATGTGAGGACTTGCTGTCCTACAGTTCTGAGGGCCAGTGACTACTCAAACCACTGGGTCTGACAAAACAAGAAATATAATAATAACTTGGATTACAAATTGGGAAAACTATAATTTTTTTTTGAGTTTTTTTAAAAAGCTATATGTGTCTGTGTCTGATAAAACAAGAAATATAATAATAACTTGGGTGACAAATTGGGAAAACTAATTTTTTTTTTGAGTTCTTTTAAAAAGCTGTGTGTATATTTCAAAGAAGCTGGTGCCAAAGTCCAAAAGACCTGGGTTCAAATCCTGCTTCTGACACATACTGGCTATGTGATGCCAGGCAAGTCACCCTTTAACTTCTCTAACATTCTAGGCTACAGAGAAGGTGACAATCCCCCAAGGAGAATTCCTTCTGCCAATGAAATCATACGTCGATTCCTTATGCCCCGATATGTCATAGGGTAAGGGTAAATGACTGCTTTTCCTTCACTAATTTCTGGGATTTCCCCTACTATAGGCTCTAATTTCTGGGGTTCATCAGTCACGCAAAGCCAAAAGCTTTTAGCCATTTGTTTGAGCCAAGGGCTCAATGGTGAAGTTAAAAGGGCTGTGACATTACCATCTTCCTCCACACAAACCCTTTTTGAGTCTGCAGAGTTCTGCAAATTCATGGAAGGTAAGGATCTGCAAACACTGAAATGGGGGGGGGCAACTAGACCTCCTGCCTTGGAGTCAGGAGGACCTGAGTTCAAATCCGACCTCAGACACTTGACACTTAATAGCTGTGTGATCCTGGGCAAGACACTTAACCTTGATTGCCTCACCAAAAAAAAAAAAAGAAAAGAAAAGAAAAGAAATGAGGGCAGGGACAAAAATGGCTTTTCAAATATCAGTCCAATGTACAGGATCCTGTGTATGTAATGCAAGATGCTGTGCATGTAATCCTGTATGGAATGGGCTCTGGTTGCTACCATTCTTACTGATTATCTTTGAGCTCGGTTCTTTCCTTTCTAATCAGCTGTAGAGAGATGAGATTATCTAGGGAAGGAGTCACTACCTCCTTTGAGTCCCACAACAACTAGTGGTCTGTTGAACTTTCTGTATATATAAATATGTAAATATATTGCAATATGTTTCCTTAGTGAAACTATATAGGAACTTTTCAGACAAAATATTCAGAAAGTCCAAATACTGATTGTTTTAAAAGTTATATTTTAATCAAAATAACTTTTAAACAATAGATTTTTGACTGATTCTCTAGTGTTAACTAATAATTAATGAGAAATATATATAACAACTTAAATCTGCAAAGTACTTTGTATACAATAAGTTCTGCATTTTATTAATAATTTTCATATTAATAAATTTCATATTATTAATAATACTAGCATTTTATTAATAAAAGGGTCAATGATACTCTCGAATGCTAAAAATCAATCATGGTGGTGAACACAGTTTATATGCCCTTGGAAGAGAGGGTGTTCCTGAGGGTAGCAATCAACTCTGGTTAACAATTAGTGAGGAATAATAAATATTACAAAGAGGTGGACCTTTTCTAATGGACTGGGGTGGGGGGGCCCCTGAAGAAGACTATAGCTTTGATTATGTCATTTACTTCTAAACTGCCCAATCTTGGGCAATTTAATCAAAGAATTTAGATCCCTGACCCAAGCCTGAGCAGAACACAATAGAACAGGAGTCTCACCTTAGATTAAAATCCTAGTAAGGCTGGATGGGTTCTGAACAAGATTTGAGGAGAATATTGATCCTATTTTCTACCATCAATCTTATCCTTCTGATGCTGAGCTTCAAAATGAGGACCTTAGAAAAAGGGGGAACTCTACATCTCCCCAAATCATTGGTTATCAATAATCATTTCTTTAAATGTATAGAAGTAAGAGGATTGGCATGGAAATTAGATCTGGACACTAACTACCTGGGCTTCTACTGGGCCTCCTGTTTCCTTAAAAACAAGAGATGGGATGATTTAGACCAATCATCTCTAAAGTCAATCAATTTATCAACAAATGCTTATTAAGGATCTTTAATATGTCTGGCACCACACTGAGTGATGGGGATACAAATATGCTCCTATGTCTATGATATAGTCTAAGACTGTAGGGTATGGGCAAATGAAAGTTGAGCAAATGAATGATTCCTGAAGCCTGGAAAACATTGATAAAAGTCGTCTCTAAATCTCATTTCATATGGAAATGTTTTGCATGACTGCACATGTATAATCTAATTTTTGCTATCTCAGGGAAAGGAGTAGGGAGGAAGGGAAGGAAAGAATTTGGAACTCATTTTTTAAAAAACATTAAAATCTCATTTCATTACTTGAATCTCGGTTTCTATGACCATAATAATGCCAGTGAAGGCATAAGAGGTATAAAAGCAATCACATGTCAGAAGTTCACCTTTGCCTTTCTATATGTTTGCACTAACAGAGGCTTGCTATCTAGACAGAAGTTACAGACTTAGAGTTTAGAAACATCTTTAGGTCCCCTCTTTCGGCCAGTTTACAAAGAAGCTTGAGCAGTGAGTGTCTTCTGCACTTGTATTTTTGAAGAATGCCATCTCACTGGGCAACCAGTTCTATATGGCTTATACAGGTCCTGGTCACAAGGCAAAAACGTCAAGCCCATTTGCAAATGCTGATTTGCACTGATTATTCATTAAATGCAAGTAACAGATTTAAGATTATTTTAGGATGGGAAAAATCTTAACTGTGCCATTTTATGGATTATTTTTTACTTACAATGCTGGATAAGCGACTTGGATATCTGGTCAATAATGTAAATAATGTTGATCATTGATTATTAAACCTTTATTAATTCCATTATTGGGAGAGCTAGGTGGCACAGCAGATACAGTGTCAGGCCGGCAGTCGGGAAGTCTCCTCTTCCTGAGTTTAAATCTGGCCTCGGACACTTACTAGTTGAGTAAGTCACTTAACCCTGTTTGCCTCAGTTTCCTCATCTGTAAAATGAGCTGGAGAAAGAAACGGCAAACCACTCCAGAATCTTTACCAAGAAAAGTCCAAACGGGATAACGAAATGTCAGACGCTAGTACAACTACTGAACATCACACAGTCCCCTTATTAATGCTGTAGCCCACAATGAAACTTTGTCTGTAATCCTGCGTTAAACTTCAACGAATGTGCCTGCGCTATGTACCTCATTACATAAAAAGTTAAACGTTAATCTTAGGGATTTTCCAAAGCACCTAGTAATCTTCACTTTTCAACCACTCTCCTCTCCAACAATAATAACGCACGTTTACATAGCGCATTCCAGAACTGTCCTGACAGTCCCAGGGAGGCAGGCAGCACTGATATTATTCACCTTATTTCACAGATGAAGGTAAGGGTAGTTACAAAGAGCATGGTCTCTGTAGGGAGCGGCGTCGGCGTCGGAGCCAGAGCCAGAGCCGTGCCCCGAACGCGGATGCCCGCTCATCGGGCAAGGCTTGGGGGGCAGCACACCAGCCGCCCTAACCCGGAAGGGGAGAAACGAGCGGTCAAGGTCAGCTGAGTGCGGGGCCTGCAGCGACGCCGGCCCGGGGCCCTTCAGAGCGGCCGAAGCCGAGCGGGCAGAGCGCACACAGCGGGTGGGCTCCCCCGGGCTCGCAGCCGGGGCGGCCCGGGGATGGGGCGCGTGGGCTCCCTCGCCTTACCTCGGAGCAGGGACATGGCTGGGCAGGAAAGACGCTTCTTCTGCGGCCGCGGGACTCACTTCTTCTGCTGAGTGAATTACAGAAGGGTCGGGAGCAGCGCACTTTATAGACAGCCTGTGGGCTCGGCCCGGCCCCCACGGTTCCCCTTTCACCTACAATCTCCTCCCACTCCGGCTCCCGAGGCCCGCGCTCGTCCTCCATCTGCAGGGCGCGGCGGGGGGCGGCCTGCCAGTCCTTCTTTTCCTAAGCCCAAGACGGGGTCGAACTTTTCTCCCTCAGCTCTTCTCCGCTCCCTCCCCAAACAGCGACCAGCAGAAGGCTCTGCCTTATCGAGGTAGACCCCCGGGGAGGCCGCGTTCATTACAGCAGGCAGGGAGGGGCCTGGCCTTTCTGTAACTTTTTACCCCATCTTTGGATCGTGCCTCCCTTTTTTCATTGTCTGATAAAGGCTCTTTTCTTATCCATGTATATGTGAATATATATTTGCGGGCAGCTAGGTGATGCAGTGCATAGAGCGCTGGACCTGAAGAGTGGAAGACTCATCTTCGTGAGTTCAAATCCAGCCTCAGACATTTAACTAGCTGCGTGACCTAGGGCAAGTCACTTAACCCTGTTTGCCTCAGTTTCCTCACCTGGTAAATCGGTTGGAGAAGGAAATGGCAAGACCTTCAGTATCCAATATTCAAGAAACCCCAAATGGGTTTTCAGCCCCATCGAACAGGACTGAAAAAAACAAAAAGAAACAAAAACATCTGAACGACAAATGCATATACACTTATCTCTACATACATATCATATATATACATATGCATGTTTTTAGAATTTTGT